CTGCCCGCCGTGCGCCCCGAAGCGCGCGGCGGGTACCTACCTCGTCGCGGCGTCTTGGGAGCCCGCGCACTGGCCCCGACCGTCGCCTCGTCGCGGCGTTTTGGGGGCCCGCACGCAGGTCCCTCCCGTCGCCTCGTCGCGGCACTTTCTGGGCTCGCGAGCCGGCCCCTCCCGTTGCCTCGTCGCGGCGCCTTAGGGGCCTGCGCGCGGTCCCCTCTCGTCGCCCGTCGCGGCACTTTCGGGGACCTGCGCGGCTCCCTAGCACGTCACCCTTCAGGGCACAATGGGGGCCGCGCCCTTCCCCTCCCCTCCGTCCTACTTTCCGCTGCAGCAGCCCCAGCAGCTGCAGCCCCTGAAACGGCCACCGCAGCAGCAGCAGCTCCAGGAGCCGCCGCCCCAGCAGCAGCCCCTGGGGCCGCCCCAGTAGCAGCAGCCCCGGGAGCAGCCGCCCCAGCAGCTGCTGCCTCTGGAGCGGCCACCCTAGCAGCAGCAGCTTGTGGAGCAGCCGCCCCAGCAGCAGCAGCCCCGGGAGCAGCCGCCCCAGCAGCAGCCACTGGAGCAGCCGCCCCAGCAGCAGCTGCCTCTGAAGCGGCCACCCCAGCAGCAGCAGCCCCTGGAGCCGCTGCTACTGCAGCAGCCACCCCACCAGCAGCAGCACGTGGAGCAGCAGCAGCAGCAGCAGCCCCAGCAGCTGCAGCCCCTGAAACGGCCACCGCAGCAGCAGCAGCTCCAGGAGCCGCCGCCCTAGCAGCAGCCCCTGGGGCCGCCCCAGTAGCAGCAGCCCCGGGAGCAGCCGCCCCAGCAGCTGCTGCCTCTGGAGCGGCCACCCTAGCAGCAGCAGCTTGTGGAGCAGCCGCCCCAGCAGCAGCAGCCCCGGGAGCAGCCGCCCCAGCAGCAGCAGGCCTTGGAGCAGCTCCAGCAGCAGCAGCCCCGGGAGCAGCCGCCCCAGCAGCAGCAGCCCCGGGAGCAGCCGCCCCAGCAGCAGCCACTGGAGCAGCCGCCCCAGCAGCAGCTGCCTCTGAAGCGGCCACCCCAGCAGCGGCAGCCACTGGAGCAGCCGCACCAGCAGCAGCCGCCCCTGGCCCCTGCAGCAGCCGCTCATGGACCAGGTGCAGCCGTGGGGGGTGAGTGTTGGGGTGCTAGTTGTGGGGGTGTCGATTGTGCGTGCCGTCCCCTCCTCCTCCTCCTCCTTTGTCTCCCACTGCTACAGCACTCGCTGAGGGGGGTGGATGTGTGGGAGACTGGGGTTTAGGGTTTAAGGGGGGGTGGGTGGGAGTGGAGCTAGCGGTATAGCAGCGGGTGTGTGTCGGGGGGGTGGGACTATGTGCGGGAGGATGAGCGGAGGTTGCCAGTCTGTTGTCCGCAGCACCTGTAGTCCGGGCGCTTAGTCCGGTAGCCCAGTGAGTTTGTTGCTGCGCTAGTCGCCCGAGGGTCCGTTGCCCGTCTGCCGCTACTTGAGCCGCGGGGCCTGTTACTCCTGTTGTCCGGGCGCTTAGTCCGGTAGCCACTGTGCTCGCCACTCCTGTTGCCCGTGTGTCTGCAGCTTCAGCCGCCGCCTTCTATCTCCTCTCCTCTCACTCTCCCTCCTCCTCCTCACTTGCCCGTTGTGACTACCACTAGCTTTGCCTCCTTCAGCCCTTGGGAAGATGTCTGGTTCTCGTGCTCAGTCTGTCTATCCGTCTCTGAAAGGGTACACCGCCGATGTGGTTAAGCCTGCTCCAAATAGTGGAAAAAAAACGCTTCCAAAACTTTGAGGTGAATCACTAGAGGGTAACGCACTACACGTACACATCCAGTAGTCGGCCTGATTAGCCATATTCTCAGTCACTCTACGGTTTTTGTATCTACAGGATTACAATCACAGAATAATATCCGTGCCTTCAATAACGAAAATCTTCCCATGCTTCCATTCCTCCTGGCCGCTATTCCCGCCATGACGCCAGGCAGGCATGACTGCGAGCCCTGCAATGCGGTAGAATGGGCACAATCGCTCATGTTTCCGTTCGCCGCAAGTGACGCATATGCGCTGCGTTTCTTTGCTGCCCAGGCTCGGGGGTCTTGCGCATACAGTTCCCACCCTCGCGTGCTCCAATATGATAGGCGCGCCTCCGCCGAAAATAGCTCAGCGGAATCAGGTCGACGCCCGAGGGAGCTCGCTGCCCGCGGGCAAAAAAAATAAACCCCAGATGGGCATGCATCCGGTCAGGGAGCCTCAACCCTAAATGCCTGGAGGCATGGTGTTTAGGGTTGAGGCTCCCTCGGATGGCATGCCATCCGATGGGGGTTTAGTTTTTTTGCTGCCCGGGGCAGCAGGTCGACAGGTCGACACAGGTCGACAGGCTTGTCGACCTGATTCCGCTGACATCTTCCCTTACGATCAGCTCGTCTTGGTTCTCGCGTTTTCGGCAAGGATAGTTCCTCTTAGTGCTCGCACTTCGAGCATTGCCGCTCACGAGATTCGATTGTTTGCCACCATCAGTCTAGTCCGCCATGGCTCGTGACAGAATCACATGCCAACGCAACATTTCTCTCCTCATCGCCGCGTCTCTCCTCGTCCCGCCTCATCGCGGGATAATCTGCAGCCCCGCGGCTATCGCGACGTCGGAGCTGGAAGATGCCATCAACAAGGCGAACGCGGTAAGGATGGATGGATTCACACTGAGAGTACCGCGAGATTCACACCGAGAGTACCGCAAGATTCACACCGAGAGTACCGCGAGATTCACACCGAGAGTACCGCGAGATTCACACCGAGAGTACCGCGAGATTCGCACCAAGAGTACCGCGAGATTCACACCCGACAGTACAAGGCGAACGCGGTACGGATGGATAGATTCACAATGAGAGTACTGCGACACCGGTAGAGTATCATCGCGACTATCGCGGCGTCAGAACTGTGGAGGATGCCGTCAGCGAGGCGATCCAGGTATACATCACATCATCCCATCATCGCATCGTCTGGTGTCGGTAGTTTCACAGGTGTGCTTTTTCGTTGACAGGTATCCGGGCGCCAGAAATTTGCGTTTGCGATTATTTTAAATTGATCGCATCGCATCGATAGTAGCTATAGTCCGCAATCATTTCCATCTGCTGGTGTTCTGCCACGCCCTCATTGCCAAATATGATGGCGTCACAGCCAGAGACGCTATCGAGTTGGAACCTAATACTACTACTACGCGTCGGCATACGGCGTGGGAGCTGAAACGTCAGCAATGCGATCGCGTGTGTTCCATCTCAACCACGGGAGTTCGGAGCTCCGCAGCCTCGCCGGCTTCGCCGAAGCCGCGGCGCGAGATGAGCCCGAATCGCTTAACGAGCCTAACAAGGGAACTGAGTCCGAATCGCGTAACGACCCTAACAAGTGAGCTGAGTCCGAATCGCGTAATTATCCTAGCAAGGGAGCTGAGCCCGAATCGCGGAACGAGCCTATCGAGGGAGCTGAGCCCGAATCGCGGAACGGGCCTTACAAGGGAGCTGAGTCCGAATCGCGTAACGATCCTATAGAGGGAGCTGAGCCCGAATCGCGTGACGAGCCTAACAAGGGAGCTGAGCCCGACTCACCTCCAACAGAGGTTACCTCGAGGAGCTAGCCTCAGCCAGGACAGGCTTCTCAATCCGAAGCCTTGTAAGAGATTTTCCAGTTTTGAGACGTCTCAAAACTCGTCGCAATGAAGTGGACTCCACGAAGCTTCGGACTCAGCTGCTATTAGCGTGTCGCTGATGTGTCGCGAGGCAAAGGCAGACGAGTCGCCTTTGGAGGTAGTTATCGACGAATGATGGCGCGGTCGATCTTACTCATGATATCTAGAGTCTAAATATGATGTGCTTTTTACGCGGTTTCCCTGCTGTTAGGGTTGGTTCGCCCAACCACGGAACCTATGGCGAAAGTCTCTACGACGGCGGAATGACGGCGAAATGGAAGCGCGTGGATGATTCTAGGTGAAACGGTGGAGATCGGCCTACGGCGTGAGAAGGGAGAGAGAAATCGAGAAGGAATGTGTGAGAAGGTGGAAGAAGCATCGAGATTGAAGTTGGCGAGGGGATATTGTGGTTCGAGCTCGAGGCGTGTTCGAGAAGGTTCCAGATTCGGTCTTGAGGAGTGTTCACCGAATTCGGTTCGGTTGCGTGTGCGACTCGGGGTGAAACGAGGCGCACGCGGTTACTTGGGAAACAAGAGAAGTTACGAATTGCATTTTGTGTCTTGCCTGACTAAAAAACTGTTTGTACTCATTCTGGAAATACAACATTGGACAGCATTGAGATTCTGAAAATTGCTGAAGTGTGTATTGACAACTTCAAGCAGAGCTGCGCATATCATTGGATTCGGGAGATCGTGGAGAACACGATAAGCAATAGCAAGTAGACTATTGCCGACTAAGGCGTTTACGATCCTAAGACCTGCAAGCTTGCTTTTTTTTTTTTTTTGAACACTTGTGGGTGATACCAGCTAGACAGTTTCCATTGGACCATTTTGCCCACTCTCGGAATGTGCGCGTTTGTGTATGTGCTTGAATGTGTTGCATCCACGTGGCGTGAATACAGGGAGGAGCAACCGCGTCTCCCACAGTGCTCGATCTCACATCCAACGTGCAGCTCAGGGCGTAAGTTCCCCTCCAAACCACGTCTGCACACGTCACATCTTGCCACGTGTGCACTTGCCACGTCATGCCACCTGAGGCCACGAGAGCCGGTTAGTTTGGTACCGACCCAACTTGCCACCTCGTCACACCCTGCCCTATCTGGCTGCATTACTCCTTGATTTCGAGCCCACTCTCTTCTTTCTTGAATCGATTCAACCCTCGTTCCTACCCCTCTACCATCTTGCTCTTCCCAGTCCCTTTCCTCCCTCACAACTCCCCCTGCCCACTCCCTCCTCTTCTCCCACCAACCCCTACACACCTCCCCCCTACTCCCTTCCCCATTCCCCCTTCTTCCTGCTCTCCTTCCCGCAACCCCCTCCCCGCACTCTCAGGCGCGGCCAAGCTGATCATCACGGGCAAATGTACCACCTCCAGGTTGTAACAGGGTTACCTGGTGGGTGGTGGGGTTACCTGGTGGCTGGTGGGGTTACCTGGTGGGCGGTGGGGTTACCTGGTGGGCGGTGGGGTTACCTGGTGGGCGGTGGGGTTACCTGGTGGGCGGTGGGGTTACCTGGTGGGCGGTGGGGTTACCTGGTGGGCGGTGGGGTTACCTGGTGGGCGGTGGGGTTACCTGGTGGGCGGTGGGGTTACCTGGTGGGCGGTGGGGTTACCTGGTGGGCAGTGGGGTTACCTGGTGGGCGGTGGGGTTACCTGGTGGGCGGTGGGGTTACCTGGTGGGTGGTGGGGTTGCCTGGTGGGCGGTGGGGTTACCTGGTGGGCGGTGGGGTTACTTGGTGGGCGGTGGGGTTACCTGGTGGGCGGTGGGGTTACCTGGTGGGCGCAGGGGTTACCTGGTGGGCGCAGGGGTTACCTGGTGGGCGGTGGGGTTACCTGGTGGGCGGTGGGGTTACCTGGTGGGCGGTGGGGTTACCTGGTGGGCGGTGGGGTTACCTGGTGGGCGGTGGGGTTACCTGGTGGGCGGTGGGGTTACCTGGTGGGCGGTGGGGTTACCTGGTGGGCGGTGGGGTTACCTGGTGGGCGGTGGGGTTACCAAGTGGGAGGTAGGGTTACCAGGTGGGTGATAGGATCGTCACCTTTGAGATCATAAAGGCCACCACTACCATAGTTGCAACCACCATTGCCATCGGCTTTTTCCTTCTCCTCTGTCCTCGCTCCTTCTCCCCCCTGCTCTCTCCTCTCCTCTTCTCTGTCTTCTCTCCTCTCCTTCTATCTCGACCCATACTCGCTTACTCTTTTCGGCCCCTCTCCCCAACACCAGGTGCATCATCACGGGGGATGGCACCTTCCCCATATTCACCTCCCCCTCGTCCAGCCCCTCCGGCGGGTAGTTGACTCTGGTCAACCTCAGCTTCCCGCTGGGGAGAGGCGTCTTTTACAAGGTGCTAACGGCTATCAACGCGAGACTTTGCGATTTCTCTTCAAACATGGAGCCTAACTATGGAGGAGGGGTGCTCAGGTAGGGAAGTTACTACCCACACCATGCCATGCCACACCACACCACACCACACACTCACATGGTAGGGAAGTTACTATCCTCAGCGGCCCCGCCGCCCTACTCAGCGGCCCCGCCGCCCTACTCAGCGGCCCCGCCGCCCTTCTCCTCAGCGGCCCCGCCGCCCTGCTCAGCGGCCCCGCCGCCCTACTTAGCGGCCCCGCCGCCCTTCTCCTCAGCGGCCTCACCGCCCTACTCAGCGGCCCCGCCGCCCTTCTCCTCAGCGGCCCCGCCGCCCTACTCAGCGGCCCCGCCGCCCTACTCAGCGGCCCCGCCGCCCTTCTCCTCAGCGGCCCCGCCGCCCTGCTCAGCGGCCCTGCCGCCCTACTCAGCGGCCCCGCCGCCCTTCTCCTCAGCGGCCCCGCCGCCCTTCTCCTCAGCGGCCCCGCCGCCCTACTCAGCGGCCCCGCCGCCCTTCTCCTCAGCGGCCCCGCCACCCTACTCAGCGGCCCCGCCGCCCTTCTCCTCAACGGCCCCGCCGCCCTGCTCAGCGGCCCCGCCGCCCTACTCAGCGGCCCCGCCGCCCTTCTCCTCAGCGGCCCCGCTGCCCTTCTCCTCAGCGGCCCCGCCGCCCTACTCAGCGGCCCCGCCGCCCTTCTCCTCAGCGGCCCCGCCGCCCTGCTCAACAGCCTCGCCGCCCTTCTCAGCGGCCCAGCCGCCCCTCGCACCAGCGGCCCTGCCGCCCTACACCGCCCGCGCCGCCCGAGCCGCCCGAACCGCCCGAGCCTCCCAAGCCGCCCGACCCGCCCGAGCTGCCCGAGCCGCCCAAGCCGCCCGACTCTCCTGAGCCGCCCGAGCCGCCCGACCAGCCCGAGCCCCCCGAGCCGCCCGAGCCGCCCGAGCCACCCGAGCCGCCCGAGCCGCCCGAGCCGCCTGAGGAGCCGAGCCGCTGGCGCCACGGAGCTGCAGTTGCTGCAGTGCCGTCCGAGCAGCCGTGTTACCGTGCTGCTGTTCCGCTGAGCTGCCCGACCCGCCCTGCCTGGTGAGAGCAGCGCTTCTGTCACTGCACTGCCCCTGTCATACAGCTGGTACTGCTAGTCCACTGTTGTCATGGCTACCCCCAGTGTTCTCACTTTTGACGCTGAGGGTCGAGCCATTGACTTTAAGGTTTGGGTGGATGACCTGCAGCTTTTCTTACAGTGCGATAGGGCAGACGGTCTTTCCCTCTTTGACCTCACCTCTGGTGCTTCCCCTGCCCCTGCTACCGATGCCGACGCCACTGTTCGCTCCCAGTGGGCCACTCGCGATGCTGCTGCACGTCTTGCTGTGCGTCGCCACCTGCCTACCACTGAGCGCGCGCACTTTAGCCAGTACAAGAGTGCTCAGACCTTGTACGACGCTATCGTTGCATGCTACTCCTCCCCTGCCACTTCTGCACTGAGCCGCCTCATGCTACCGTACCTCTTTCCTGACCTTGCTGCCTTTCCCACAGTCGCTGACCTCATTACGCACCTCCGCACTAGTGACACTCGCTACCGCGCCGCGCTTCCTGCTGAGTTCTGCGCCAAGACCCCCCCCCCATGTACATCACTCTCTATTATATAGTCACCCGCCTCCCTGACTCCCTTCGTGTAGTCAGGGACCACTTCCTCTCAGTCTGTCCCACCACTCTCGCTGTTGACCTCCTAGAGAAGGCCCTCCTAGCGGCAAAGAAGAGCATAGTCGCTGTAGGAGCCTCTCGTGGTGACCCTCGCACCCCCATCTTTGAGGGGTGTTCCCCTTCCCCCCTGTTGCCCTCTGTCGCCTCTGCTGCTGCGGCCGACCTCGTTGGTCTTGAGTCGGTCGGTACGGCGTCTGCCCCTAGCGGGAGACGCTGCTCTAGCAAGGGCAAGGGGGGCAAGGGCGCGGGTGGGGCTAGCGGGGGTGGTGGAGGTGGCGGTGGGGGCGGCGGGGGGAGTGGGGGTGGCGGTGGGAGTGGTGGCGGGGGTGGAGGTGGCGGTGGCAGCGGCGGAGGCGAAGGCGGCGGTGGCGGTAGCGATGGGAGCGGAGGCGGCGGTGGCGGCGGAGGTGGAGGCGGCGGCAGTGGAGGAGGTGGAGCTGGTCAGGGTGGTTCTTCTCAGCAGAGCGGCTCCGGGAGTGGTCAGCACCAGCAGCAGCAGCAGCGTTGTCGGGACATCCCCCCTCCTCAGCAGCTCCGTGAATGGTACACGCAGCGTCAGCGTGGTGGGGGTTTTGGCCCGTGCACCTACGTCCTTCGCTCCAGCGACCGCGCGGGAAAGCAGTGTGGGGGTGCTCACCCCACCCAGCGCTGCTTTGGCCGCCTGACGGACGCGTGGCGTCACCAGTTCCGTGAGGCCACAGAGATCCCTCGCTGGGGCGAGCTGTCTAGGGCAGGCGTAGCTATCTTTGATCTTGACTTTGATGCTATCCTTGCTGCCATCTATGCTGTGTCTACTAGTGATGAGGGTGACTGTTACCGGTGTTTCCCGCCCGACCCGGGCATTGGTACTGCTGCTCTAGGTACTGGTGAGGCTGCTGCTCTAGGTGCCAGTGCGTCCGCGCCCTCAGGTGCTGGTGAGTCTGCGCTCTCAGGTACCACGTCGGCTTCGGCCTCCCTCACCTTCACACTTGACTCAGAAGCTTCTCGCTCTTTCTTTCGAGACCGCACCACACTCACGCCGCTTGGTCGGCCGGTTCCAGTCTCCCTGGCAGACCCCTCTGGGGGTCCTGTCCTCTCTCACTTCTCCACTGTCCTCCCGTGTCCGGCTACCCCCTCTGGCACCTTGTCTGGTCTTTACCTCCCCTCTTTCTCTACAAACTTGGTGAGTGGTGCTGACCTGCAGGATACGGGGGTTCACCAGTTCACTCCTGCGAGTCAGCGGGTGACCCACTGCACAGACGCTCGGACAGGCCGACACCTAGCCACGTTTACACGTCGGCCGGAGTCGAGCCTGTACACACTGACCATTACGTCTCCTCCAGTCACTGCGTCTCGTCAGGTAGCTGCGTCGGGTCAGGTGTTTGCTGCAGCGTCCAGGTCTGGTCCTGAGTCTGCCCCCTGCTCGTGTCGCCTCCTGTCTCACGAGACTCTCCTCTGGCACCACCGCCTTGGTCACCCCTCCCTGCCTCGTCTCCGAGGCATGGCTTCCCGTGTCCTTATCTCTGGTCTTCCCCGGTCCCTCCCTCCCCTTCCTCCGGGGCCTGGTCCTTCCTGTGTCCCCTGTGTTGAGGGACGGCTCCGAGCAGCCCCTCACTCCTCTCAGTTTCCCCCGACAGAGGCTCCGCTGCAGACGCTTCACATGGACGTGTGGGGCCCGGCCCGCGTCCGTGGACAGGGTCACGAGCGCTACTTCCTGCTGGTGGTTGACGACTACTCGCGTTACACCACAGTCTTCCCCTTGTGCAGCAAGGGTGATGTTGCTGAGGTGTTGATTGAGTGGATCCGCGCAGCTCGTCTCCAGCTCAGGAGGAGCTTCGGCTCGGACTTTCCTGTTTTGCGTCTGCACTCTGACCGAGGCGGAGAGTTCTCCTCTGGCCTTCTGCGAGCCTACTGTCGTGCGCGAGGCATCCGCCAGACCTTTACGCTTCCGGACTCTCCACAACAAAATGGGATTGCTGAGCGCCGCATTGGCATGGTCATGGACATCGCTCGTACGTCCATGATGCATGCGGCTGCCCCCCATTTTCTGTGGCCGTTTGCGGTTCGGTACGCGGCGCATCAGATCAACCTTCACCCCAGGGTCTCCAGGCCGGAGACCTCCCTAGCCTTGCTGTGGACGGGGAAGGTCGGCGATGCGTCTGCGTTCTGTGTCTGGGGATCTCGGGCGTTTGTCCGCGACTTGTCTGCGGACAAGCTGTCCCCTCGTGCTGCTCCCTATGTCTTCCTTGGCTTCCCCCCTGACGCCCCTGGGTGGCAGTTCTACCACCCCACCTCTCGTCGTGTTCTGTCATCCCAGGACGTCACGTTCGACGAGTCAGTACCCTACTACCGCCTCTTCCCCTACCGCACTCCTTCCCTTCCCCTGCCACCGCACTTCCTTGTGCCAGGTCCCCCCCGGTAGACCCCCTCCCCCCTCAGGGTCCTGCCCCTTCAGGTCTGTCCCAGGTAGATGCAATCGAGCCGGTCGAGGTTGCTGGTGACTCAGGTACTGCTGCGGTTGCTGAGCCTGGGGGTGCTTTGTTTTGGGGTGCTGCGACTGGGGGTGCTACGACTGGGGGTGCTGAGCCTGGGGGTGCTACGACTGGGGGTGCTGAGCCTGGGGGTCCTTCGCCTGGGGGTGCTGAGTCTGGAGCTACTGAGCTTAAGGGTGCGGAGCCCGCGGCCGCTAGACCTGCTCGTGTGGCGTCTGGCGGTGCTGGGCCTGGTGGTTCTTCGGGTGCTTCGTCTCGGCGGGAGCCACTCTCTCCACAGGAGCTGCGCGAGTGGTTTGCCCGGCGCTGGAGGCGTACTACTGGAGCTGGTGCCGCCGGTCTCGGAGGTGCTAGTCCTGCGAGTGCTACTGGAGTCGGAGCTGCTGCGGGTGTTGGCGCTGAGGCTACTACTGTCAGTCCTGGCGGCGGTCCTTCTGCGGGTGCTGCTCGTGCTGCTGGAGGTACGGGAGCTGGAGGTGCTGTTGACGCTTGTTTAGCCTTATATATATATGTGTACTCCTGCATGTGAACTGGCCTTGTGGCCTTGACCTTGTGCTTGGACTGTGTGGTGACGTTGTGATCCACCCTGAGCTTTGTCTGCTTTGCTTGACTGGTCTTGTGACCCCTTGTTCTCCCCCACTTTGCCTATGGGGGTGTGTCAAATTATAATATTGTGTAGGCTATAGTGGGGTAGCCCATATGGGGTACACATTTATAGGGTTGCATATTTGTATCACTTCCATTCCTTAGTCATTCATTCTCGTT